ATCCATGGGATGTCACTGACCACTACAACATTATGACCTGACACATCCATGAGATGTCACTAACCACTACAACACTGTGATCTGACCATTCATGGGATATTACTGTACACTACAACATCAGACCTGACACATCGATGGGATGTCATTGACCACTACAGCACTAAGACCTGAGCATCCACGGGATGTCATTGACCACTACAGCACTAAGACCTGACCATCCATGGGATGTCACTGACCACTACAAAACTATGACCTGACCATCCATGGGATGCCACTGACCACTACAACACTATGACCTGACACATCCATGGGATGTTACTGACCACTACGACATTATGACCTGACACATCCATGGGATGTCACTGACCACGACAACACTGTGATCTGACCATTCATGGGATATTACTGTACACTACAACATCAGACCTGACACATCGATGGGATGTCATTGACCACTACAGCACTAAGACCTGAGCATCCACGGGATGTCATTGACCACTACAGCACTAAGACCTGACCATCCATGGGATGTCACTGACCACTACAAAACTATGACCTGACCATCCATGGGATGCCACTGACCACTACAACACTGTGACCTGAGCATCCATGGGATGTCTGTGACCACTACAAAACTATGGCCTGACCACTCATTGGATGTCACTGACCACTACAAACTGACCATCCATGGTACCAGTTGTGACTGCCCTCACAGCCTATAAATATTTATATTGTAATTGGTAACATTGAATTACAGGTTGTACTACTTGGTAAATACAATGGTCAGGGACTCGGCAAAGATTATGAAATGTTACTCAGAGTTACGAAAGGTATGTGTAATTCTCTGAGTTTAGTACATGATTTAACTGATAGGTCAGATCCCTAAGTGAGGAAAACCGGTGACAATTGAATCATGGCATATAATTTATGTACAGTGCAACATGTAAGTGGTTTATGTTTCGTAAAGATCAGGTGACTGCGATTTAAATTATTTATACCATGGAGTTACAGCCTATCAAATAGCTTAATTAACTCAATTTGTTGCATATTCTGGTTTTCTGTTACTTTAGGAATACACAGTGACATATAACCATGACAATTCTAGAATATCTGTAACACGATTGTCTTAAATCGCCAATTAGTGAATACTGTACATTCCTTATAATTCGGTTTCTGTTCATCCATCCACCCAGTTGTATTTCAAACCAAATTTGTTCATTTTTTGCATGTGCCTAGTGGATTCAATCCAAGATGGTTTCACAGTTAGGTAAATGATGGTTGACTGCCTGCAATCTTGCTTTTTGACCATACTATTATATCTCTGTACATGAGCCTGAACTTATGCTTATATTTGGCATGAATAACATTTCCCCTAATTCCAACAAGGACTAGTATTTAATTAAAGCAACAAAAAATATAATTATTGGGAAATGCAATTGTTGTATTATACATTGTGCATACAAACCACAATTGCCAGTGAATATACTGGATACACTCAGTTGCATATAGACATGAACAGAATTCAAGGAAATTTGTGAAAACAAACAATCATGTTTAGATGGAACTGTGTAAACTGTATCTCACTTTTCATCTTTTGCATGTTAGAGAAACAAGCCATGCATGGCACAGTCCCAGTTAGTTATTGAATTTAAGATATACGTATATACCAATTTTGAACAAAATCCATTTGTGAACAGCTGAAAAATGCTTGATTTTGATGATTTTTAGCACAAAAGTGGTCGCCATTTGGAATCAGATCGTGAAACAAATTGATGAGCATATGTATAATATCATGTATTATGTATATGTGAAGTGAAGTTTGATTGTGATTGGTCCAGGCATTTCTAAGATACGGAGGTCAAAACACAAGTCCCTGTTTTCGGACTGCGTCGGAACGGGGACTAATAACAAATTTGATTTGAACCAAAATGTAATGTAATTTGTTCTGTAGCTTGCCACAATTAGCTGGCAAGATACCTATCTGCCCACAGACTCTTGGCATGATTTGCAATTCAAAATAGCGCAATGCATTCTGGGTAACTGACTCAATCTGTTACATTTTTGTAGGAGTGGAATATGTCAAAGTTATACTACACAAAGGTAGAATGTACGGAGCTATTCTCGTTGGAGATACGGATTTGGAAGAAACATTTGAAAACCTAATCCTTAATCAGATGGATCTTAGCATGTATGGAGAGGATTTACTTAATCCAACTATTGATATAGAAGATTATTTTGATTAGATGATGATTGTACAGCTTGCAGGAAAAGTTGCCTTGTTGAACAGTTATAGACCAATTGTCTGTTCTGAATTATAAAGAAAAAAAGTCTATTTTGTTGCTTATTCAATCTGGGAAATAAAATATGATGAGCAGAATTTGTATTCATTGTAGGATGTTGACTTACCATTGTGTTGACTGTACCTGAAATGATAAGGGAGTGAACCAGGGTGTCATGACTTTTGTTTTGGATAATGAAACTTTGTTGCAGTATTTTGTTTTAGTTTATTAGGGATTGGTCAGTTACTTCGGCCTAGGGGGGGTCGGCAGATTCCATTTTGCCAGCTGTAAATCTCAGTTGACCCACCCCCTATCAAATAAAAAAAAGTGGGTGACCCCCCCCCCACCCCAAACATTATATTTTAAAACTTAAAACATGCTGACCCCCCTAAAAAAACAAAGAAAACAAAGTTTTGGCTCTGACATGATTATAAAATGTATTATATGTGCATTGAAAATATCATGGTTTGCCATAATTTTGAGCATTTGCATTTAATAGACCTAAGGAGGGGAGGGGAAGCATAAAGCCAAAAAATGACTACAGAAAAGGCTGCAGGAAGGAGGGAAATCTATGTTGCTAAAGATAGTAAATAAAAGCAAAGCTGTGGAGTACTTACTCGATATACGCCCTTATATTTTAATTTATATATCAGCATTTTCACAAATTTAACTTTTTTGACTTGCTGAACAAAAACTGTCACTGCTCTTTGTACTAATTGCTGTGTTGTCTTTCTGTCTCCTGTTATAATTGGTTAAATCCAGTAAATATCTTATACAATGGTGAGTGACTACAGACTTTAAATAAAATAATCTGATATCAGCAGCACATGGACTTGGCATGTGTTTAAAACTTAACTGTATAATTGGGGTTCTAGCCGCATTGCATAATCTGTTAGTTATTTGGCAACTTTAACCTCAAAATTGTTTGCATCAACAAATTTATAGGCAATATAGGTAATAGTTATTATTAAGAACACATTTGTACGATTAACTTTTTTATCGTTTGTTCTAAAATAAATTTTTTATAAATATATGCATCAGCGTGTGTGAATTCTGGAAAACATGATATCAAAAACAGGGCGACTCCCCCTATTCGCACAATCAAAAATAGGGTAACCCCCCCTACTGATCCACCGACCCCCCCCCTAGGCCGAAGTAACTGACCAATCCCTTATTTGATAAGAAATCCTGCTAGCTGCATAGCAATGCTGTGATGTACATTTCCCAGCAGATTATTCTTGATATGAATGGAAGGACAGAGTGAATGTAACCATGTTGTCCTCCCATTGTTTGTGACATAGGTCTTTACAATCCTTAATGATGAGTACCATGGAAGGTACAAACGGAAGGAGCCCCCCCCCCCCCCCACGTTATTGTTTTAGCTTTACCCTATGTTTGTTCACAAAAATTGGTTCATGTTAGATCTTAACACCTTCTTACAATGGATTACGCTAATCTTGAGCATACGGTAATATTCGGAATCGATAGACAAGATTTAAAATGGCGTGTAGTTTGAATGCTGTTGTTTCCGGAGATCTTGGCAAACTTTAATGAAAAATTGGCAGATATAACATCGATCGAAGAAGAACTGATGAACTACTAAGTATCATGAATCTTTCTGTATTTGTAATAGTGATGAGACGTAATAATTGCCTGTGATAATAACGATTGCATTATTAAATAGTACCATTGTTAGTGCGTGGGTATGACGCCCGGAACTGTTTGAATTTTTCGACCACAGGGCATCGGCGAACACCACCAGAAAAGATAGTATCAAAAAAAGGGCATGCCTAGACACTTTCTCTGTGATAATATTTTTTAGGAGTCCTTAGGAATTTTTGTTGTAGACACTCAAAATCTTGTTTTTGTTACAGTTGCTAATAATTAAAACATGTGAAATACGTGAAGTCAAACAATCGTCTGTTGAATTTCTGGCTGTGAAATGCGTAATTTGAACTTTCACACCTAAACAAACCTTGTGAGCATGTGTAATGACCATAATTTTATAATGCCCATATATTTTATGGTCACATTTAAAACCCACACTATCCTGCTTGATGTGTGAAAGATGTGAATTGAATGTCCACTACAAAAAATCCAATGTTTTAATTTTAAACCTAAACATAATTGTCAAATTCCATGTAATGTTTTGACCTACAATACACACATAATAAATCTTGCAGTGAAAAAAAAAGGCATTGGGAATATTTCATAACTGTCATTTTCAATGGTAGAACCTTCATATACCAAGATTTGAGTCATGATGTCAGCTACAATATCAACTCAACTCATGTTAGGTATTTAATAACTCCTTATACTATATAAAGCACACACTTTCTTCATTACATATCTTGATCATATTCAATAAAAAAAATGTATTCTTCTTTGCAAATAAATAATGATTAGTCATCACTAAAACTACTCTGAGTGTCGTCTTCACTGAAATCGCTTTCACTGGAATCAGCCGCATCAGCTGGTGGTGCTGGTGCATTTGGTGTACTGAAATATTAAACAAACATACATGCATGATAATAATTAAGATGCAAGTAACTTGTTGCCATGGTAACACAAGATAAAAATAACAAGACAACTTACTCCAAGAGATTTGGGTCCACGCCGTCTACTGACATTTTTTGTTTGACAGCTTGTGGATGGATACCCTGTAATTACATAAAACATTAAATTACATGGGATTGATGTAATTAGTGAATAAAAAATGAGTCTTTCATTTTATTTCTAATACACAAAATCTCAAATAAAAACTTGTGCAGTGGTACATGTGTATGCTTGAAAAGAATTGTGTAGAATTTGTTTAAAATGACGTCACTAAGCACAAGGTAATTAATTATTCATATTGACGTTTCATTGGAATATGTAAACAAAATCTACAATAGTGACAGGGGTATTTATAATGGTGTTGAAGTAATTTCTTAAGAGCTTTGTTCAGGCAAATATTTTTGAGTCTCACAATGAATAACAGTTTTTTTTTCTTATCTGCACATGCTGTCTTCATTTGATCTTTTTCACACATTGTACTGTGTACTATGATGTAATCAGTTCTATTTTAGTAATACCTTGTAATTGTGACAAACACTATTTTAAATGTTTTCTCCGTTAAATGTATAATATTATGAGATTATCATCCATGTTTTGAATTTGAAAACAACTGTTCAATGTGTGTCTAAGAAATATCTTATAATCTGCAGTACCAAATAAAAACTTACTATATTAAGCATTTTAAAATAAGTTGCATATCTTGGATCTTGGGAGATCGGATTACTTGATGATGTTACAACTGGGTTCTTCTGCTT